GGGGTGGTGGTGGGGGGGTGGGGGGGGGGGGGGGGGGGGTGTCTGTGTGTGTGCGCGTGGTGTGTCTCTACATGTACGTACCAGTAATATAGATTTAAATATTAAAAAAAGAAAGCAAAGCATAATAAAGGTAAAAAGGACAAAAAGAAAAAAAGTACTGGAGTGTCAGTATTGGTCTCCTGGCTCTGTAACAAACTCTTATCAAAAGGGCAACGTCGCTGTATGACAGCTCAAGAAGGACCAGGGTGGAGAACAGCAGCTGCACACACAGTAACTTACCACATGAATTTGGCTTTACCATGGTATTAGGCAGTTACTCATCATCTGAATAATTTCTCCAGAATGACAAAGACATCATTTACATTAAATTACTTAAACAAAAAAACAGAACAAAACTAACACCCCCCCTTTTACGTAAAACTAGAAGTAGAAATTTGGGACCTACAAACATTTGAGACCAGAGACTGTTGCATCAAAAACCAGACTGGAAAAAAAACCCTCATGAAAAAGAAGTCAGTTAATATACTTGGTAATATAGCAGGTTATGGTTTTGGGTTTTTTTTTTTACATGCCTCTTGAAGAATGACACCCCCACACCCCAGCTCGTTGTCTGGAATATCACTGAATGACAATCGTTTGTGTAAAGTAGCTCTTTCTAATGTCCAGTTCATTGGAAATAGGATTAATTATAAAGAAAGAGCTAAATAAGCCTTTTTTTAAAAAATAATTTCTAAAATAGGAATGCTCTCCCACAGTGGAGAGCTATCACACCAAATAATCAAACTTAGAAAGAGAGAGAGAGAGACATTAAATACGTTCTGTTCAGAAAGCCCAGAAGAAAAACTATTTTATGTGCCCATAGTAAGTGGATGCCACTTTTTTTAAACTTCTAAAAGAACAAGAATTTAATTAAAAAAAATATGTTACAAAAGGCACTATTAAGCTTGCAAAAGCATTAAGTGCAGTTTTTAGGTTTGTACCAAATCATGAACTTATTGAAGGGTGTACAGTTTGTGTACGAAACAGTCACTCCGCAGTGTGCGACAGCCATCAAACCTATCAAGCTCTGGATTCTTAAATCCAGCCTCTGTAGTGGTGAGACCTACAGGTGGTAAATGGACCAACCACTCTCACACTGCACTGTCCTGCCTACAGTTAGGTTTCTTCAGACATGCACCTCCCGTACAGACGTCCAAGGCAGTTCCCTGCTTTCTACTTACTGTGTGGCACCAGCGAATCCAAATCCATCCCTTTTTACCAGCACAGCCTTGGCAGATTTTAATTTTCTGATCCGATTTACATTGTAACAATAGATAGGTTTTTCTTTGCTGTTCTTTTTTTTTTGCTGTTCTTTTTTTTTTTTTTTTTTAACAACTAGAGCACTATCAACACTGGAGAACTCTGTTTCTGGAAGCCTTCTTTCAAACCATTACAACCATTAAGGTTGATACGGAAAACTGTCTTGAGTTTTGAAAAGCATTCTTCAATCTCAGCAGCGTGCTGTCCAAACAAGTCATTCTAACAGAAGGCTAAAGAATAAAATTATTGACTGCTGTAACAAAAACTCATTACCACATCAAGACTAGAGACATAATAAAAGCTTCGATTCCAATAAAAATATTTTTAGTCCTTATTCCTCTTTCTTTACAGTTGGGAAATAAGGAGCCACATCATGGGTCACTGGCTACCACTCTAATATATTACAAACGAGACCATTAAGGTATCTTGCTGGTAAATTTGCTGAAATTATTGCTGATGTGCTTTTGTGTAATAACTATTAAAATCTGCTAATGTTAAAAGCTTCTGTGGGAAAAAAAAACAGCTAATATTTAGATTTTTTTTTTTTCAATCTTCAAACTAACATTTAAAGGAATACCAGTAATTTCTATAGTGCCCCTTTACTAAAGCACTCGGTACATCATGGTGTTTTTAACAGCCTCAGAACAAGCAAAGACTCAAGGTTTTCTGTGTAAACACGTGCATACATACACACATATATATATATTATATATAGAGCGTGTGTGTGTATATTCAACTGTCTAGACCAAACTGCTGGCTATAAACACTTACTTCCTGTTTATGCACAGGGTTTCACATTCATACTCAGTAGTGGAAAGCTGTCACTACCCAGGCTTTGTTTTAGGCTTTTCACTTTGAGCATTCCCCCTGCAAGTAGAAGAACATTTTACTTCTTGCCGTCAATTTCCTCTCATAAGACTTCTGTTTACTGATGATGTGCTTCCTCCAGACTATCCAAGCAAAAGAAACACAGTTGAGGGCAAACAGGTTCATTACAATAATGACAACTGGTGATAGTAAAATACCACCATTTCTAAGTAAAGGTTCAGCTCCCTGCTTTACTGGCAACAAGGGTTAATTCATAGCTACTGGACAACCGCACTGACTGTCACTAACTTCTTGCATATCACCAGTAATCTATCTCGTATATGGCATAAAGACATATATTCAATTTCTTTTAACATACACTTGTCCTCAATTGAGGAAAAACAAATAGCCAAATACAAACCTCATGTCACTTCAGTAACATTGTAGTTTCTTCCTCCACTCTAACAATGAAAATATATTTGAAGTCCCAGGAAGATGAATCCTATTTTAGCGGGCAGGAGGCTCTGAAAAATAACGCAGTTTTAACAGAGCGTGGTTGACACCAGCTGGACTGTAGCGCCCAGGACTCCCAGGGTCTGGAGAGAACGAGGCGGCATTGCCGTATTTTCCTGGACTTCCTGTTATGGGACTATTTCTTCCTGAATTGGAATACACTGAAGCATTTGGAAGGCCAGCAGCGACGGTTTGGGACTTGAATCTTGCCTTTAGTCCTGGACTCGGCCAACTGAAAGAAACGACCAGTCATTTTGCATTTTATTAAGAAAACTGCAATAAGGAGAGCAAGTACTTTTACTCAGTATCACTTGTAGATCTTAGAAATAACGCACCAGCAGAGAAAAATCATAACTGGTAGGAGACAAGTCTGAGAAGAAACAGTGACAGCACAACGTATTATATGTAGACATGTTGCCTCATCAGTAAGATGTCATTTGCTCCAAAATAGCCATTAAGAAAAGAACCAGGTGCTTGTGAAGCACCTCAGCAATTTTAGTCCAATGCCCCCACTACAAAAAGGCATCAAAATCAAAGCTGACCTGATTTTGGCTAGTGCCGCAGCTATTGCTGTGGCTAAGCATGATTTTCCCTCTCCTTTTTTAAAATAATCTTTGTGTTTGGATGCCCCAGAAATAATACCATTTTTCTATATAGTAAGTGTCAGATTTTTTCTGAAATCAAGTGAGAACTAGTATCTAAAATTTCTTTGAAAGCAGAGCAAAATATTTCCTTTATTAAATTAAAAACCCTTTCCTGTAAAAACCTTTCCTTTTTCTCTAAATTTTATTTTAAGCAAGGCAGAATGACCAAAGGTTGATTCTAGCATCTGGTTTTTTCTTTTATGTGCGAGGCAATTTCTTAAGATAAGCCACTATAGAAAACATGTTATAAGCTAAAGTATCTTATAAGGTTTTAAAAAATAAACAAACAAACAAACAAACCAACCCACACCCACCCCCCAACTACAGAAGACAGGCATTCACACAGCTTATTTAAAACCTTTTGAAAATAATTTTCTTCTGGCTGACCTACTAGTATCTGTATCATTAGGTCTGATTTTTGCAGTCAAAATCCTACATACCTAAACACAAAGTGATCTAGTATGTCACTTCTTTGCTTTTGGCAGAAGCAGCACTGCAAAATTAAGGAGGCTGACAGAGCAAGCCTTGACATTGGCAAATAATTACAGTAGTCGCTTTTACTTATGTGATAGAACAGTGATTACACCTAAAAATCTTATGTTAAATTTTAGCACTTTGGAAGAACACCTTAGACCTTTCAGACAATGGAGTAAGAATGAAAAAAGCCTACCAATTAGCCTATTTCTTCCAAAAAATTAATCGCAAAAATCAGGGGACAAGAGAATTTGACTTTGAAAAGTGAAGTGGTACAAGGACACCGTATCAGCCAGGTATACGAAAATATTTCCCTGTTTCTACTCCACTTCAAATCAGAAAAAAAATCTTAGTGAGCTTCATGTTTTTTCTAAAACTGTACTCGACGGCCCTATTTCAGCGCACTGTTTGAAACAGAGACAGAAGAAAGCTGCTTTCTTTCCCAGTGCTTAGCACTGGGCAGCATCTCTCCTTCCACTTACCATCTGCACTTCTTTCAGCCCTGTCACATGTTGTTTCAGCTCCACAACATTCCTCCTGCTCCAATCTCTGCTAACTTAACACAGTTGCACTTCTCAGCTGCTGGTTCCCAACTCCTACTCTCAAATATTGTGGTCAATAAAGCCAGTCAATTACATTTTTTAAATTCTCACAAGTTCTGACAGAGCTTTAAAGGCTCTGTCTTTAAAACATGTTTTGAAAAATTAATGTTTAATGCCTATATTGAGAACTTCTTAGTGGAAATAGTTCTCATAATAAGTGGAATTTCATGCATTTAAGAAAGCTAGAAGAAACAAGAGAAAAATAGAAGTCAGTAGAAGTCATTCGATGGCTTTCTGTTCCTGCCCCCTTTCCAATCTGTTGTGTGGCACTGGGTCATCTGTTTCTTTTCTGAGAACTTTATCATGACTATATATACATTGTAGGCTGTCTAAGAAAGGGACTTTCTTCAGCGTTCTGACCAATGTCTGTCCCAATGGAAATAAATCTTCATGTTAATACAATTACCAGAAGCAGCCACTTTTATGAAAGCTGTTGCTTTGCATCCCCAAAAGCAACAGCATTCAAAACAAAACGTATAAATGGCATAACATGTATTGAGGCGTGCCACTGAATGCAGTGTGCTTCCATTATTTGTCTAGCAAAACATGACATTCTCTCTAAAAACTTAACACACCACTGTTCACACTAACAATTCCTTTGGACTGGGGTAATAGAGGGTAAAAATAAAAATAGTAATAAAAAGGTGCCTGAAGATACTAAATTCACTTTAACATCACTCTGCACAACCCAAGTACAACATTCTTGCACTGCATTCACAACAGGGATGAATTACCAACTGACATCACAAATACCATTATGACCAATGAAGGATCCAAATCAGCAAACAGACATTTGCCAACTGGAAAACACTTACACTCTCGAGACCTTCATTTTCTGTCCGATTTGTCTGTATAGATATGCTGAAGTTATTTGGAACTGCAATGTAATGGAAGGAATTTGACTGCAGCACCAGTAAACTTTCCTTATCAATAGACACCAGCCAAAAAGGCTTGGTGATTAATTTCAGAAACACACTAATAGTTAATACCGTTGAATATTTAAAATGAGTTTTTGTGAGCAACAAGGCCTGAAATTCTAGTTATTCAAGCTGTTCTGCAGCTGACCAGCTACAAATTTTATTTCAAATCATTTTGCTTGAATTTGCAGAAATACCTTTGCCTGTCAGATGAAGAGTATGACTGCACCGCATGTTTCCATTTGTTAATAATCGGGTATTTCTGTGGATCAATCTCTACTGCTTCTATAGCTGCTAAGACATCACTATCCAGCTTCGAGGGCTGCTCCCTAGAATATAAACAGAACTAGATGAAAAAAGAACTATGTATTTGTTCAGGCAATAAAACATCCCAATTCCAAAACATTTATTTTTGATATAAGCAAACAAATTGCCCATGCAACTCCATAAACATAGCTTCTCTATGAACTTTTTCAAGCAAGCCCACACATAAATGACTGTCCATTATTACACAGTAGTCTCATTAAAAAAAAGTTTCAAAAATTTAATCTGAGGACATCCCAAGAGTGTAGCAAACACTTTGTCAATCTAAGTCAGGCTCATCAGGAAGTCACAAGCCCATCAGATGAATGGTAAACAGCAAAGTTAACTGAAACTGATTTGGAAACAAAGACTTCTCCTCTTCTTCCTCCCGTTTTAGATACGGTATTCGGGTAATTAGTTGCAAGCGAACTGTATGGCTAACGTACAAGCATCAAAGCGCTTTAAGATGATCATTGAAGGCTGACTGCAACTAGCATTGCTTAGTACCACATCATCTCAACCTTGCTGTCAGTGATATTATAAAATCTTCTTGTTTTGCATACATAAACTAAAGGACAAATAAGTGTTAAAAAGACAATTCTTACCCAAGCAGGAATAAGTTCTTAGAATTGTCATTTGCGGGTGAAGCCTTCAAAAGAAATTTCTGGGAAGAAAGTTCTTGACGTTGTTGTGCCTCATTAGTCTGAATTCCAGATTCCATGGACTGTCTCTCCTTTTCTGATGGTATTTTGTGTTCTGTCCTTAACTTGGTCTCTCCAAATTTACCTGTAACACGTGGCTCAGAAGAACCTGACAGTGAAACTGCACAGCAGGTCTTATCCAGATGGTCCTTGGATATTCTCACCTGACTTGTTCCTTCAGCCAGAATTCTCTCATTTGCAGTTTTCTCAGCGATTTCATTTGATTCTCCTGCAACCTCTTGCTCTTGGAATGACAGGCTTTCGAATTCTGACATTAAATTGGAAACAGGCGATACAAGGCATTCTTCTCCATCATGCAAATGCTTTCTGTCACTAATTATCCTTTCAGTGGACACAGGATTACAAAATCCATTTTTGCTGGAAGAAGCTGCCTTTTCATAGTGCCTGGGGTGACGTGATGTTTCTATAATGTTTACTGTACGCTCCATTGACAAGATATCACACTCAGCATCTCCAATAGCATCAATGCTAGGTTCTTTGGACACAATAGGTTGGCTGATATTCCGTGCTGCATTTTGTCTGTTTTTAATTTCTTCTAAGCTCATGTCATCATCATCCTCATCCAAAAACGCTCCAACAGAAATAGAATTGCAGCATTTTTTACTTTTGCCTGTAAACAATTTTAATAAGAGCAACACATAAAAAGACTTTCAACAGAACGCCAATCAAATAAACTAGGAATAAATATGCAAACTTTATGGCTTATTCTATTTATTGAAGCCCTCTCTAATTTTCTTTATACAGCAGCATGAACTAACCTAACTAAAGTTACAAATGCAAAATGACAACATTAAGGCTGTATTTTTTTTGCAAATAACCTTTTATATCCTAGTCATCTGAGAACAGTATATCCTACGCTCCTCACTTCAATCATTAACCAGCAGCAAAGGATAAAGTCAGGATAAAGCAAAACAGGGCAGGAAAACGTTACTAATATAGAATAGAATAGCTTAAGTTTTCATCTCTTCCAAAGCACAAAGGCTTATGACTGGTCCAATGACTACCCTTCAGGGTCTTCTCGGACCAGGTTTATTCCGGTACCAGAGCCCCTTCGCATCTACAATTGCACAGGAGAGGAGGAAGAAACGCAAAGATTTGGGACTAGCGTGAGCCTTCCATAAACATGTAGCAAGCAGCGGTCCAAGAAGGTATAAAAGCTTTCCTGGGTTTTGTTCAGTGTGTCTTTCACCCCCAACTGTAAAGAACTATTCCTTTTTATAATAAAGTTATTTATTCTGTATCTGTGACTTACAAAATTCTATAAGGCGAATTCCCAAATGCTCCAAGTAAAAATATACTGAAGATAGAGGTTTTCTTACAGGAATTTAGTTTGGGGGCTACAATCAAATGAAGTACTTCATATGAAAGATAACAAACATCTAACGAGGTCTGTTCTAATTCTCCTACGTTCACAGTGTTGTTAGCTACTTTTTCAATACTATAATCAGACTGTTTGGATAACAGATTAATAATAGAAACCACAACAGGTGAATAGTACTTCCCCTGGGCACCAAGCTTTTTCTCTCTCTCTTCTCCCTAGGTACAACCTGTTGTTTGTAGCATTTTCCCTTTTCTTACCAGAAGGATGTGGAGTTTTGTATCTATTGCAGGTTTCATTTTCCCCTGTTTCTTGCTGAGCCTTTTCGCTCATTTCCCGATGACTCAGGTACTCTTCTAATTTTCGCAACCCCTCCTGGGAAGACAGATCAACAAAACAGCCCAGAAATTCCCAGTATTCAACCCACGGGAACCCCAGTTCATGAGCTAACTCCCTGCAATAAATAAAATAAAACGAATCATTTGTGAAGACATAAATATTAGTTTGACAATAACTTTTCTGAACACATTTTATCAGCTATTAATAGGACTACAAATGTGCAACTAGGCAACACAATTCTGCAACAATCAACAGTCTGCAAAAGCGATATACACATCCTTAGCAAACATGGTATCATCTGATTTTTCCCAGAATGTTTTTCAAATTTAATCTACTATTCTTACAGTTAGCACCATAAATATTGCTATTTTTAAGCTGACATCTGATAGAGATGAATCTCCACTGTTGTAGGCATAATTTGAATGCTACTCCATTCAATAGCTTTTTCTATTTGGGAATGGGAGAAGGTAGGAAGAAGTGAGGGGTTATTTTAAAGAAAGAAATCTAATCAGCTTTTAACAAAGTATGTTTTTTCCATATATTGCTGATACAAGGTGTTGTAACAGCAAGGACACATACCATAACACACAGCTTTTATAAAGCAGCACATTTGTATTAGGATCTTTTCATTCTGCTATCTTTTTAACAATCCCTCAATTTTACAGAAAAAGTAGGCTATGCATAATTTTACATCTTCTGACAAATTAGGCAAGTAAATGTTTGAGAAAAGCATTCTATACATACCAATCAATAATAGTTAAAATATCTTTATTTCCAGAGCTAAGAAAGCTAGGTCTCACATTTTTAGCTATTTTGTTTACACAAAAATACAGTAAAAATCCAACTACAATGTATTTAATAAAATATTTCTGCCAGTAGCTTTTGCCCTAAGATATTGTTCAGTAAGTAATAGCTGTACTCTCAGCACAAGTCTTTTGCTTTTAATAGCTCTGTCTATTGCTAATTTTTCACACTGATACTCTTTTAGATACCTTCCAACTCTTTCAACACCTCTCTCCAGATCAGATTTCCTGACATTGTGAAAGAAGCCAGCCCTCTCTCGAGGTGGAGTCTTCCAAAGCCTGCGAAATTCTTCAGCCTTTAAAAAACAGAAATAATTAAAAAAAACCACTCCCCACAATATGAAGCTGAATCACTGCTGGCTAAATGTCTGCCTATAGGTCTAGAAGATATTTAGCTGTTTGCTGTCTACATGTAAACAACTCAAGTTCTGCCACAAGTAGTGCTCAACTCTGGCTATTAAGAATCTCATATTGGATCTAAAGTTACTCCTCCCAGTATTACTGGTTACTTGGATCTCATAACTGCTTATTAAAAGAAAGTAAGCACCATAATGCACAACCATCTTAAAGTTAACTGTACAGATACCAAGTCTGCCTGGTTTTATTTTGAGTGCAGCAGGAAAGAGAAGTATGTCTTATAATTTTGCCATGTCATTATAATTTTATTTAATTACAAATGCTCTTTTGGTCACTGGTTTCTAGGATGCAAAGGTGATATTTTTGTATGTATATACTTAATTCCACAGACTTGCTGCAATTATTAGAACATATCCTTGCTGTCTATTTTGAATTTGAACTCCTAAAGGGAATAAACAAATGGATTTTTGTAAACTCCCAAACTTTATGCCTTTATATGACAAAAATCAGCAATGACGACTAAGAATTACATTCAGACATTAAAAGTATCTGTCAGCAATCAAAATAATGCATTGTTTACACCCCTAGGTAAAATTTTTCAAAGTACAGAATATATTTACATTTCTGTCAGGTGAACAGAAAATTGACCAACGAGCATATTTAGAAGAAAAAAGCAACAAGCATTTTGGTAAAACTCAGTCCTGAAGAATTCAAGCATCAGATGACAGAAAGTCCTCAACTGTATTTATTCACCATTTCTAAAGCTGTCATACTTCCAGCCTGTTCATATTAAACAAATGAGTTAAAGAAATGCCTATTAAGTTCATAATACATTTAACTGGTACCTACGTATTCCTCCTGAAAACTAAAGATTTTGTTTTTCTACTATACAATCAATACTTTTCGAAAAGTATCCCAACACCTACTACTTGATCATCAGTTTTTCCATTTAGAAAAATATATTGTTAATTCAACAAGCAGAGGTGATTAACTGCTTCTAATATCCAGTGTCAGTTTCTAGAAATGAGATAAAGATATAGTTAAGATTTTTTTGAACCAATTCATAGCCACATTGAAATGCTTTGTTTCAGATTAGAAAGTTAGAGCAATTATCTGTAAGAGAACAAAAGGTTTGTCAAAGAGTGGTCTTTGAATAGATTCCAATAGGAAAAAGAAAAGAACAACTTTCTTTTGACTGAACTTCCACTCTTCTTATTTACACCATGTTTCTGTTTTCAGAAATAAAAAATATTTACAAGTTTCTGTGCTTCTCCTTTTCTGTAGAGGAAGATAGATCTCTTCAAGAAAGACAGCACCACAATCTGTATCAGGAGCAAGCTACACCACACAACGAACCGTAGGTGAATCTTCTAATGGTTCTTTATTAATAAAAAGGAAAAAAAAAAGGGCATTAGAGTCATATGAAGTTCTCTCCTTACCTTTGAGGGGCTCATGGGGCCTGCAAAAGCTCTTATCGACAACACTGGATCTTTGGGGCTGCCAGTGTATCTAGATAAAGTTCTTTGGCGGCTATCATCTATCTGATCGGGTGACCACGGCGCACCAATTACAGGAGCTGAGGAATTGTCTTCTGCTCTCAAGAGTGGTACATAGTATCGACCTAAAATAAATAATACAAAGCTTTCTTAAGAAGTTTATGTCACATTAGCCTGCTGCTTCTTCCTAGAATATCAATACACCCATATACTTAACCATCTGACTTTATTTCATTAGTAAAACTACTTGTAATTCAAACTCACTGTTTCAATACTTATTGCCTGCTTACAGATTGTATCGTAGTACAGGCTCCCTTCTCTCTCAAATACAAAAATACCTGCATTGATAGATGTATCCCTTCCCTAAGGGTCTTCAACAAATTTCAAAACCTCCTTTTGCAAATGCCTAAACCCAAACGTGACAAAACGGTGAAAAGTTCTACGTCAAAGAAATTACACAACTGCCTAGCATGACAAATAAATCTCTTGCTCTGTAAAGATCTTTTGTTCGCTTTTAGCTTATACTTTCTGCTTCAGCCTCACTGAATAAAATAACGGCCATGCTTACGTTACAGAGCTAAGAGGATAACCTTGTGATCCATACAGTAAGAGTTCTGACCATGTCATTTAAAAGACAGTAAAGCTTTTTGTTCCTTGCCAGTTTTAGAGTTTCTCTTTGGTTTTCACAGCACTGTACAGTAGCATCATTTATGAACGGGAATGGTACAGAAAGCAAACAGAATGGAAGACAGCAAAGAGCCAAAATACATGCCTGATACAGTATAAAACTCTGAATACAGACCTTTCAAGTACTCTCTTAGTTTTTCTTTTAATTCTGCAGATTTATTCTTGCTTCTTTCACAAACTACCTGTTAATATAATTTTAGTTGTTTGTTAGTAAAGCATAAGACATCCATCTCAAATCAATTGCAATGTGTGTTCTTTTTGAATAGTCACGTTATTGGCCTCTACCCATCTCATCCAGTACTTCTAATTCATAGTAGAACAAACCACTAAAATACATCCAAACCCATAAAATGGATACTGCAAAGAAAAGGCAGTGAATTATAAAACCTAGAACTTTTCCCCAGATACAATCAACATAAAATATTTTTAATGTTATCAAAGATTTATACTCTAATCATGACACTACTATCTTACTACAAGCCTTCTATCTACAGTAGTTAGTAAATGTTTGAACTCGAAAAATATTGATTAGGATAACATTTTTGGTTTTGTTGTGGACATGGAGAGACTTACTTCTGCTGGAGTTTGATCATATTTGTTTCTTGGATTTTTTACAATAGCTGGGTGTGAGGTAAGCACATTAACAACCTCCAAATTCCCAAACTTGCAGGCAAAATGCAATGGAGTATCAAATCCCTGCATTGGGAAAAAGGGAAAATTCACAAGCATTTGAAAACATGATAAAAGTCAATCCCATGTATTTGATTTAGACTGGAAAAAAGTAAATAAATGTCATGACTAATTATCAGGGCTCTTAATAGATCTTTTCCCACCATACTGTAGAATAATGATTATTACAACCCACAAAACTCATTAATAGCTCATTCTGCTGGAAGCGTCCCTTTCTGCTCTCTTTCCTTCTTCCTTACACATCCGTAACACCTTCCAGTTGTGTCCATAATAAGAAGAAACTGGCAAACATCAAAATCTTACCATTTTATCTGGTGTATTAAGGTAAAGGTCAACGATATATTGGATGCGATTCTTCAACATTGTATCATTATCATCTGGATACATAAGCCGCATAAATTCAGGATTTTCCAAAGTGTCCAGTAATAACTGGCAGATACCAGGTTGATTCTCCTTGGCAGCAACATGCATGACATTGTACCTACACCCTTCCTGGGGGGGGGGGGGGGGGGGAAGACAAACATTAGAATGAACTGAAATCTAACCAGCTTTCTGACGCCCATACACTTCTAATTTAACTGTGAAAAATCAAAGGTTCCTACACTGAGTCTTATATTTAGATTTTTGTTTCTTAATATTTTATTAGAAAAAGATGTTTACAAAACAGTACATAAACATTCAGAACTGCAGTAGATTATATGATATTGTAAAGACGTCTGCATCTTTGCACTCACATTATTCTTACAACATTGTTCTTATACTCAGCTAGAGTCTTTTTTTACATCTAGGGCAAAAACATGGCAAAGAAGATATATTAAGATACACGTAATAAAAGGAGATAGGAAGTTCAGAGTATAAAAAGAGCAGGAAAATGGGTGTGCATATATATATACATATAAAGTTCAGCTTGCTGTAATGTATTACATACAAAATTTCAACAACTTCACAAAGCTGGTCTGATAGCAGTAATTTGTTAAAGTAAGATGGTCAGCCTCTGCTAAATGGTACCTTATACATGGATTTTCGATGTAGAGCACATTTTGAAATTTAATGGTGGTGCCTAGATCAGCAGTGTTGTAGGAACACCTAGTTACAGCCTAGGCACTACCCTGTTCCTTAAAATCATTCTATTTTAAAAAGACTGGAATTACTTGGAGGAGATAAATACTATACGAAGACAAGACTATTCTTTCACTACTGGATAAAACTATTCTTCCCCTAAAGAAACGCATACTCAGTTTCTTTACCCTAGCTCTTCTGGAGCAAAGTGAACTCTCAGTTATGATGGGTGACTTCCGCAAGACAGACAACTGCCACATTTCCCTTGGCTTTCAGCTAGTATCAATAAACACTGAGAAACTTTGCACTGGCGGAAACAAGGTATCTTGCAGGAAGAGTAGGAAAACAACATTCCTTCCAGTTCTGCTTATCAGACCTCAAAGCTAAATCACTAAACCAGAACATGTTTTGGTTTTTTTGTTTTTTTTTTTTTTACCTGTACAACTGTTGGATTGTCTCCTGATCCAATCAGATAGCGAGGGTTACTCCAAATAAGTTCTGAAAATGTTGCTGTATCTCCTTTCTCGACCGCTTTCCGAAGTTTAGCAGTAAGATCTTGAGTACGTGGACTTTTATAACTGTTGGCTCTCTCTTTATTAGCAGTTTCGGTCTCAGGGGAGCATAAGCCATCTATCAAAACACAAGTAACACATTTCTAGATACATTCTTTTCAGTGATCACTATTTTCATACCCAGACCACGACAATAAGCTTTTAATCTAAAATATGTATTAACTTTGCATCTTTAATGTACAGGAGTAAAAAAATTGAGGTCAATGACAAGACATTTAAAAATACTAGTAGTTAGTAATAGGGAGGGAAGAGAACATGACTTAAACTTGTAAAACTATTTCAGACTTTAATAGGGACTGGTAAATTTTAAAATTACCAATCTGCTTCCATCCAAACTTAAAGGCAAAATTCAACAAGAAATAAGATTATTTCTGAATATTAAAATTGCTTTTGCAGTTCTATGACCACTGAGTCCCTTGAATCTAGCAACTGGGAACATCGCGAAGTATGATCCGTGTTTACCATTTTATTTCTGAACTTACAAACTTACTTAACAATTAAATACAGGTTTAATACACTGTGCAATTTTATCAGCTTCTTATTAAACCTGAAAATCCTGAAGTCCATAAGTAAAATCAAATCCTACCAAATATAACCATAGACTACTAAGCAACATATCTATGCAGGCCATTACCAACATTTCAGCTTTAGAAGAATAGCAATATTTTTTAGTGTAAAATTCATGTGAACCACAACGACAATTGCTTGTGAAAGTAACCCGTTAACTTTATCATAACACAGACCGTAGAAACCATACATTGAAGGCCAAACCTCATGCTTTAAAAGACAAAAAGCAGTCTTTCTGTAGATTCCTGGGGCTCTATTTTACTTCTGTGGTAGTTCTTTATAAAAGAAATGGCAGGATTCCAACAGCCTCTACTTCTTACTTTAATTCCGTACATAAACTTTGGTGCTCCTTTCTTGGAAAAGCATCAATTACCTTTAAGGATGACTTCTCCAGTGACAGTATCATTTTATACAGAAGTAAAACCAGATTTGAATTAGAAAATGAAAATACGCTTTTTATTGCCTCTTTCTAATTTATTTCACAGAAAAAAAATGTAATTAAATACTGGTTGTCATATCTATTTATACAGTGATTTTACTGGGTGAGTAAGCTCTGGAGCTGTGATGTAACATTTGTTTACAGCTCATCTTAAACACCACCACTCTAAAGGGACTTCAATTTATTAAGATGCTTCACCCTTTGAAATTTTTTCTGTTATTAGTATATCGGTTATGCAGTTGTTGCTTCTTCTCTCATAAAAAATTATCAGACTGTATATTGCACCTACTGTACACAGATGAACACCCTCACCTCGGTTAAATGATCCCATTTTCACTGGAGACAAACATAAAGAGGACTTGCTTGGAGATGGGAAATAATCACAGATTCCTTTAGCAAATTTCTCAGCATCCTCTCTGTTTGAAAAAGCTTTAAAACGGGAACCCTTAATCATCTTAACAGCTTGGAGAGCTTCCTTTTTATCTTCATAAACATGTATTCTCTCTGCAACAAAGTACAATCAAAGCTAAGTTATTTCAATAATCTCAGATTTGTTCCTAGAAACAGATTACAAAATTCTCAGACTATCCTTCCAGCTTTGGTCCCAAACTGTTTCTCTACCAAACATGGCATAAGAATCAAAAGTCCTTTTAAATTTTCTCTCTCGGAAACTGAGTAGAAGAATTTTACACACCACACTCCAGATATTGGTGCATATGAATAGTCAAATACTGTACACATATCACCTGATGTTAGCTGAACATCTTTTTCTAATAGATGGGCTAGCTTCAACAGGCGAGTGTTTCACATCCAGGTTGAAAAGCAGACTCAGAGCTTATTCACCCTGCATTACTTTCCGTGTTCTCTTATTCAGAAAGATCAACTAAGCAAGTGATCCACTGTCACAACTTTAAGACCTGTACACAGAAATTTAGACATTAATCTAATCTTCCTCTTTACTCTCCTTTTGCATTAACGCTAATTTGTTCAAATATCCTTTTTATGAGAAAGAATACTTACCACCGTCTCGGACTAAATGATCCATTATGCACTACTGTAATCCTGCCACTAGGTAATTTAATAATTCCTTATTGCAGTATTCATCAATAAAATGTGAAGAATGACTGATGCTCTAGATAACATTTGGCATTAAGATAGAAAGGCAAATATGAAATCTGTTAGAAGAGATAATTTAAGCTTCAACTGATGATAGTATAAATAGTTTTTTGATTGCTTATTTGTAGGATTACTTTTTATTATTGAGAGAGATTAAAGGCACCAGATGGGTATGAGAGTAGCAGTAGGAAATAATTTTCTTCCTCTGAGCTACACTGAGTAGAGGATCCTCATGTGTATCAACTATTATAGCAGAACACCTGCGATGTCTTATAACTGTGTTTCTATGCCTCAGAAGATCCAATAAATACTATTTACAGAAAAAAAATAATACTTCAAGCAATGCTTAAAATACTAACACAGTGGTGTTCGTATCACCTGCTATATAGAAGAAGGTCTATTTAGACATGATTGTAAAATGCTTATCATTGGAAATAAAGGAGATTAATATTTACCATTCCTTGCCAATATGTCATCATAAACTGGACAAACACCATAGAATAGTGGAGGATCTCTGGACGGTGTCTGAGTACTAACTTGTGAACCAGCACATCCTGCTCCACAGACTGGAGCTGAACAGTTCATGTGCATTACAGCGTCTTCTTCTGGAGGGTTCAGACCTACACAGTACCCAAAGTCTACCTCTTCCGAAACACTTCCATGACCATTGTAATTCACCGCCGTAGTTTTCAAAGCCTTTTGTGCTTCTGCTGGGCTACTACCAGATGGGACATTTCCACCAGCTTCCTCTGATAAAGCAGATCCTTTTCCCTCCAACGCCCCTTGCTGCTCCAATAACGCCTGAGCCAATTTTTTTTCAAAAATAAACCTAGTAGTTGAGGTAATGGGTCCACACTTCAGTCCTGCTCTTACAATTTCTTCTCTAAGTTCATCAGGGGTGAGCTGCTTCAATCGGCATAATATTGCATCCATTGTTATTTCACCTATAGGAAAGGCAAAAAAGGGAGCAGATAAACTAAAGAACACAACCACTTTTCTTTCTGCTATTTAAATGCTGTATTAAACCCAAGGAAAAAAGCATCTCAAGAATTTCTCTGATTCTGAAGAGATTATCACAGTTGCAGAGAAGACAAAATAGTTTTCAACTCATTAAAAACATTTTTTAGCTATCAGACTTATACCAAGAGTTTATTTCCTCTCCTCTCACAACTACTTGGAAGAATATTTACAGCTTACATTTTATTCTTGTTTGTCCTTTTCAGATTTCTTTTGGAGTGAAAATTCAATCCAGAATATTTATGATTAAAATTCATGACAGGCTGAGAAATACTTGATTCCTGCCAAGAAGGCACAATCTGTGTACATAATGGAACAGAAGAACATGATGACTGGTTAGCCCCAGTAACGAGATTCTGGTTAGGCAGCACCTACAGCTAAAAGCACAGTACTATTCCTATTATTTCCTTAAGAATTTCTAGCTGTCAAAAGGATCAAGCATAAGTATGATGCAGCAACCAGGGTAGCCTATCTCTGGCCATGATGCAAGGCTCCAGCCCCCATTTTGAGAGCAAAGAGCCAAAAGACAAGAACAGCTGATCTTTTCAGAGTTCCCTCTCTGACAAAGGGCAGGAGCTGGAAGAATTGCTCCATTTCCAAAGGAAAATCCTTCTCTCCGGTACGATACTACAAGTCCCCCAGCTCACTTCCCTCCACATAATCCACACACTTACAGCTTCTGCACTGGTCAGCGAGAAGATACTAAAACCAACACGATGCCTATACAAATTTCTTGCTGTGAAAAACACAACTGAAGAATATAGGGTTTGGCAGCTCAAACACATGAGAAGCTTTAAAATTATTTAATCAGATACTGGACCTATGTATCTCCACAAAGGCTGTGACTTTTTCTGGCTGTACACTATTCGGAAAGGACAGCTTTAGGATAGAAATGATTAGGGTGTCGTATTCCTTCAGCTTGCTTTCACTCCCTCCTTAAATTGACCCTTCCTTTACCACCTAGCCATTTTATGGGTTATACTGGTTTGCACAGGTGTGTATGGCTTTTTAGTACCAATTCAAGCACATTACTGCTAAGCAAAAGGAAGAATAAGTAAAAAAGTTATTTGAAAGGTTGTTTTTGCATACCAAGACAAGAATCAGAAATTCAGCTAAGACTATTCCTTTATGTAAAGCAAATGTTTTTATGGTGAGGTTTTTTGCCGCCTCTGTAGGATGTGCTACTTTGTTGTTTAAACATTAGGTTTTCAAATCTTTTTTTTTCAACTTTATTTTCAATTGCAGGTTTCATCCTCACTTTATGAAAATTCAGATTACCGGAACACACATTTGCAGCTTTTCCACATGAATTGATTTCTATTTTTTTCATCATGCCATTTTTTGGAATAACACAACTCCTAATCTTACTCCATTAGAGACAAAACAATCTCCCAGGTATGAAGTCAGTATCACCCGTAATTTTAAGTTAAATCTCCTCAAAAACACATCTGTGGACGCACATGGCAGTATGAGAAATGTCCACAACTTCTGAGCTCTCCTGCTTATGAACAGGGTGCACAAGCAGTCCTTAACGTGAGTCAGAACATCCACTCTGATGGGCAAGAACCTTTGTCTGGGAAACTGAGGCTGGAACGGTGAATGGCTGCACCCTAACACAGCAGGGATGCAGTACTCTAAATACTGGATCCTAGTAAGCTAATTATTAATTTTGTCAGAGCATACAAACTCAGAAGTAACTCCAAAATTGCATCTTCATCATAGACTCACAGTATAGTCAAACTCCCTTATTTTTCCACGTGTATGGCCAACAGTAGCATCACAAAATATGCCAAAAAAATAGACAATTTGGCTTTTTAAATTACCCGAGGATTAAGCTGGTAAAGAACCAAACTTTTCATATATTTAAAAACCCCAAATGCACACAGCAGTTTTCGTAACTTTCAGCAATGGTCAATATAGCCAAGTAAAATTTTCACTGGAATCTGACTTGAAAACTATTACATTTCTACTAACAGGAAATACTATGGGAGAAGATGTTAATGCCAAACTTTAGCAAGTTTTCAAGTATTTTTACAACTTGACAGTTACGTGAGTTCAACAGTTGTTTTCTTTGAGGGCCATTTCCTTTGAGAGTCATTTTTTTTTTTCTGAATGTCCGATTTTAAATATCTTGTGGTTAGAGAACATACCTCAGTCCCTGAATATTTCATAAATATTAACTAAAACCTCACTGAAACTACGGGAAACAACAGTATTTCAGCTTAAAAAAAACCCCACAAACTGTGGCAAAGCCACAGTTGATGCTGCTGAGCCATCTCCCCGAAGTATTCTAGTTCCGTTATTATACCTGAACCTCCAAGCAACCTCATGGTTACGATTATCTGACTTGCCCACAAGACTGCAAAGACAGATGTGAAAGATCTTCTGACTTATTTTTGGTTCTTAATCCTGTATTTTTTAGAAATTAATTTCATGCCATTAAGTTTTAATCAAGGGATAAAACACGGCCCTGAAGTCAACTATAAGAATATCAAAACTTGCTATTCTAAGGATTTTCTTTTTGAGATTGCATAACTGAAAAAACACAATAAAGATGAAAACTCAGAGGTAAGAAAGTTTATTGCAGAAACAACTCAAGGAAAACACTTTAAAAGAGCCAACATAATATAACGCCTCAAAGAACTAACTCAGGAAATGCTCCTATTTTTAGGCTTCAGAACCAGCACAATCATTCTGCAGAAAAGCAGACCCTTACATAGGTGTAATTCATGTATGTGGAGTATGCAGGCACACACAAAATCTTTCTTCTTGGCTTGTGGTTAAGTAAAAAATGTTATGAAGAAGTGATTTCTCTGGTATCTTATGTTTTGAGAGAACTTGATGTCTAAAATTTTATTCCTCATCTATGTCAGAAAAAGTATTTCTTTCATCTGTCCATTACAACTCAGGCACAACTAAATTGGAGTGAAATGATAAAGCAGACCAACAGTGAAGAAATCAATCTTTGGTGTAAGATCTACTGTTACTACAAAGAGTTTTCTACAATAAGCTTGCTGTGGAAACAGGAAAAACATTGTTGGAATGACAACACAGAACTTTAATTAAATACGTTTGTATTCTGACAGTAAGCTTTCAGCTAAGATGCATAAGCATTTATTAATTTTCAATGGCATCACCTATTTTGATCTGTCCAAAACAAAAGGTGTGACTCACAAACCTGAGAAATAGCAATTGCCTAAGATAATCCTTCGATCATTTGCTACATGCAGGTGCAAAAGGTGATTATTTGAACCTTAAAATGCATTTTATGTAACTTCAAATGATCTAGAGTACAACCAGCACTGACGCAGCTACCTCTTCTAGTTTAGCACACAAGAGCTTTCAACCTACCTTTAGCGGCTTTACAAATATAACTGTTTTAACAACAAATGCATGTTCACGGCTTCTTCCAAATCAACCAGAATCTGGAAGAATGGGTAAGAGATGTATTTTCCCTTGTCTTACTGCATCAGTATGAAACAGCAAAATCTGTTTCCAAAAAAATTAAGCCTAGTACCAAGTGAGAATGAATGAATGACTTTTAAGGATGGCAATATTATTTTATTCCACTACTCGTTAAATCACACAATGACTTGGGTTGGAAGGGACCTTAAAGATCATCTAGTTCCAACCCCCCTGCCATGGGCAGGGACACCTTCCACTAGACCAGGTTGCTCAAAGCCCCATCCAACCTGGCCTTGAACACTGCCAGGGATGGGGCATCCACAACTTCTCTGAGCAACCTGTTCCAGTGCCTCACCACCCTCACAGTAAAGAATTTCTTCCTAATATCTAATCTAAATGTACCCTCTTTCAGTTTAAAACCATTACCCCTTGCCCTATCCCTACACTCCCTTTTAAAGGGTCCCTCCCCATCTTTCCTGCAGGCTGCTATAAGGTCTCCCTGGAGCCTTCTCTTCTCCAGGCTCAACAACCCCAACTCTCTCAGCCTGTCCTCACAGGAGAGGTGCTCCAGCCCCCTTGATCATCTTTGTGGCCCTCCTCTGGACCTGCTCGAGCAGGTCCACGTCCTTCTTATTTTGGGGCCCAGCGCCGACCACAGTACTCCAGGTGGGTCTCACCAGAGCAGAGTAGAGGGGGAGAATCACCTCCCTTGACCTGCCAGCCACGCTTCTTTTGATGCGGCCCAGGATGCAATTGGCTTTCTGGGCTGTGAGTGCACGTTGCTGGCTCATAGTCAGTTTTTCACTCATAATACCCCCCCCCAGTCCTTCTCCTCAGGGCTGCTCTCAATCCACTCATCGCCCAGCCTGTATTTGTGCTTGGGATTGCCCCGACCCACGAGCAGGACCTTGCACTGGGCCTTGCTGAACGTCATGAGGTTCACACGGGCCCACCTCTCAAACCTGTCAAGGTCCCTCTGGATGGCATCCCTTCCCTCCAGCATGTCGACCACACCACGTAGCGTGGTGTCATCGGCAAATCTGCTGAGTAAATCTATCTTTCAGTAAACGAGCAATGTAAGAAAACAGACTTTTTTTTTTTGAGGCAGGAATTAAATGAGACATACCCCATCTTCAGCTATATTTTGACTGCTAGGATTTGCACATGCCAAAATAATTGTGGCTACGGAATCGGGTATTTATACTGCCTGTTGCCAAATTAGCCAACAGCTACGAACTACGTGGCAGAAACAGAACTTCAAAACAAACCTGGAATAAGCCACAGGAAAGCCACGACCAGAAGAAGGGGGGGGGGGGGGGGAAAGGCCGACTTCTCGGGAAGGAGGAACGAACGTGTATTTCCAGAGCTAGCAAGGGAAGGCAGGCTC